CAATCAAAGGAGAGAGACCAAAGGGGTGAGGGGCTTATCAGCACCCCATCTGTCTTCCCACCCAAGTGGTGAATGATCTCTTTGTAGATCTGAGTGTACTCCCCATGCCAAGGCTGGAACCATCCTGTTCCCTATCTGGAGACCTTGCCCCAGGACACATGCCAGCCACCCCCAGGCCTGAGCTCAGCATCCCTCCCAGGACCACAGTGAGCCCCAAGACGAGGGACTGCCTTCCCCAGTCCAAGGGCCTGAGCTCCCCAGGGGCAGGCCCACTGCAAGGCAGCTGCAAAACTCAAGAGACAAGTGCTTCTGAAAGAAGGTTATTATAAAATCACACCATGTCCAGTATAAGAAAGGGGGAGGCCCAAACTTGGTTTCAAGAAAACACCACACAAGAAACCAATGTTACTTGGAAAATGAAGCACCTGATGACCACAGCAACAGCCCCAAAGGGCTGTCTCAGTGACTGATACCCTCCAAAGATGTTACGAGAATTGGTAGAGAAAAAAATAAAGTGGTTCATAACATCATTCACGGTCAGTGTAGGTAAGCCTGCTTTTAAGGGAAGCCTCGAAAATCACTAGGGAGTAAATAAATACCTGCCCAGGGCAGGAATGGAACCCACCACCATCCAAGTTTTAAGGTCAGAAACCACCAAAGGACTGAGGAAAACTCTCGGTAAACTGATAACTGTGGTTATCATTAGAAGTGGATGTGGGAGGTGTTTTAACTGGACATACTTGTATATAATTTAAAATTCGAACACTAAGCATGTTTTCCTTTGCAACGAAAAGAAGTGAAAGACAAGACTTCCCTAGCAGTCCAGTGATTAAGACTCCACACTTCCACTGCAGGGAGCACAGGCTCAATCCTTGGTCAGGGAACTAAAATCCTCCATGCTGCATGGCATGGCCAAAAAAAAAGAAGTGAAAGACAAAAGTTAGTTCCAGGAAACTGAGTGGCTGTGAGAGTTTCCTGAGTCTCCTCACTCCTCATCACAAGTGTGCAGGAAAAATGATGGCTTCATTTTAAAATCCTACCTGAGCCAGACCCAAAGAAAGTGAAGGCACAGCCTCAGCCTCCTGCATAAGATAGTCTGGTGGCCTCGTGAGTTGACAAAGGGTGGCTCCTTCACCTGGGGCGGGGGGCTGACCTGTCCCTCCCAGGGGAATCAGCTGTGCCCACTCCCATGCAAACAGGTGGGTGTTTGGTGTGAGCAGTCTGGTGCCTTTCCTCATTGGCAGCCCAGGCAGGGAGACTCTTAGAGATCCCTTTATTCCAGAAGGAATCTGAGAAAGCTCTGAGCTCACAGTGTCAACTTAATGGACTCACAAAGGGGGCTTGTTTTAGACCAAATGTTGATCCAAATTAATCAAATGTTGATCCAATTAATTTGTTGGCCCCAAATTAATCAGGGGCCGCACAGCATGATACTGGGAGCTAAATCAGCTGCCATAGACTAACATTCGTGTCCCCCAAAAATGCTGAAATCTAACCCCCGATGTGTTGGTATTAGGAGGTGAGGCTTTGGGGTGATTAGGTCATGCGGATGGAGCGCTCAGGAATGGGATTGTCCTTATGAACGAGACCCCAGACAGGGCCCTTGCCCTTCCACCACAGAAGGACATAGTGAGAGGTTGAAAAATTAAGTGAAAGTGTTAGTCGCTCAGTTGTGTCTGACTCCACGACCCCATGGACTGTAGTCTGCCAGGCTTCTCTGTCCATGGAATCCTCCATTGTATAATAGCATTTTATCAGGATGTTAACAGAATTAGAGCTTGAAATACTAAACTACTTGAATTTAGTGTGAATGTTTAAATGGATATAAAGGATGGCTGTGGATGTGCAGGTAAAATGATCAATAAGTGTAACTTTATACTTTATTTTTTCACAGGTGTTAAATAAGTGTATCCTCAGTAAAAAGATAAGTTAAGTTAGCTGCTCAGTCGTGTCTGACTCTTTGTGACCCCATGGACTGTAGCCCGCCAGGCTCCTCCGTCCATGGAATTTTCCAGGCAAGAATAAGAGAGTGGGTTGCCATTTCCTTCTCCAGAGGATCTTCCTGACCCAGGATAACCCAGGCCTTCAGCATTGCAGGCAGCCTCTTTACCATCTGAGCCCAAATCCTCAGTAAAGTTTTCTGTTACTGTTACAATGCCCCTTCAGATTTAGAAATAGACCCAGGGGTGTTTTCCAACAACCACAACCAATTCTCCCATTCTTGGTGGATATAAGTTGGGTGTTCCTACAATTTGACAGTATCTGTTTTTTAAAGTTAGCTATCTGGATGCAATAACATCAGATCTCACAGGTTAAGGGCTCAGTCCCACAAAACCACCCCCATTTCAAATGCTAACTGCAAGTCCAGAGCTACCCAAATTTCTGACCTACTGGCTATAAATCAGGGTTTCCACGACCCCCTTTTCAGGTTCAGTCATTTGCTAGAATGATTCACAGAACTCCGGAAACAGTTATGTGTATTTACTGGTCTGTTATATAATAAAGGCGATCAAAGGAGCCACGATCAATTATTAACTCCATTTCCAGCCTTTCATTCTTTGGAAAATGGGGTTGGGGTGGAGTTTAAAATTTCAAGTTTCTAATCATGGCTTGATTTTTCTGATGACCAGCCTCCATCCCCAAACCATCCCAAGAACCCACCCAGAGTCCCCTCATCAGAACAGAAGTGTTAGTCTCTCAGTTGTGTCTGACTCTTTGTGACACCACGGACTGTTACCTGCCAGGCTCCTCCGTCCATGGGATTCTCCAGGCAAGAATACTGGAGTGGGTAGCCATTTCATTCTCCAGGGGATCTTGCTGACACAGGGATCAAACCTGGGTCTCCCACATTGTAGGCAGACTCTTTACATCAGAACAAAACACAACTTTAATTGATTAAAGTTGTTTAACCCATTAAAATCATTTTATAAAATCCTTCATCATGAGGATATAAAAACTACAATTTTGAGAATGAAGATTTGGCCTTTCCAATACTACTACTTCTTCTGTAGTTGGTGGTTTAGTTTCAGTTGCTATAGCCAAATACCATATATTGGGTGTCTTATAAACAACAGATATTTATTTCTCACAATTCTGAAGGCTGGAAGTCTGGGATCAAAGTGTTGGCATGGCAATGTCTGGTAAGAGCTTGCTTCCAGGTTTATAGGCTGCCAACCTCTTCCTGGTGGCTGAAACAGTAAAGAATCTGCCTGCAATACAAGAGACCCGGGTTAGATCCCTGGGTCAGGAAGATACCCTGGAGAAGGGAATGGCTACCCACTCCATCCAGTATTCTTGCCCGGAGAATTATAAACATATAACATTTAAATTAATTAGCTATTTTGCTTTGCAAAATACTAGTCACCTGCTGGGACTTCACTGGTCATCCATGAGTTAGGAATTCACCTTCTAATGCAGGAGACGGGGGTTTGATCCCTGGTTGGGCAACTAAGATGCCACATGCCTCAGGGCAACTAGCCCAAGCACAACAACCACAAAGCCCAAGTGCTCTGGAACCCATGTACCACAACCAGAGAGAAGCCCGCGCGCCATGACCAGAGAGAAGCCCGCGTGCCACGACGAGAGAGAAGCCCATTATACAGATGACTCAAGTAATATATATATATATATAATTTATATATAATATCTTATTATTTACTAATATATATTTCACCTGCAGAAATTACCTAGTGCAAAAAGGCTCTACACATCCCTGGGACCTCATGTCTCTGGAAGAATTCTTGTGCCCTTTAAAAGATTTTGTAAACAAGACTAAAGAACCATCAGATACTTTTACAAATAATGCTGGAAGGTGCACTGGCATCCACAGCTATGCTGAATGTCCAACTGTTGGACTGAGGTTGGTACTTCTCCAGAACAAGTCTACAAAGCCTTATGGGGCTTCACAGAGGGAAGGTTCTCTTGTCATCTCCCATTTCTTACCCCATGATATTCACATCAACGTGAAATAGTCAGGCAGTAGGGATTCTAAACCTGTTCCAACACCTGCAGGCTTGAGAACCACAGGTATCATCAGTCTTACCGCAGAAACAAGGTTGAAAGGATCCACTTCTGAGACAGCACATAAGGAGCTCTACAGACCCATTTTGCAGCAAAACACATATAACTGATGAACACTAACAACAAAAAAGTATAAATCTCTGAAAATTGTCCTCAGTGCACACAGCAAAAGAAGAGATGTCGATTCAAGAAAATCTACTGAAACCTGGTAAGGACGGTAAGAGTCTGAAGTAACTTATCCAACCACCCCCCAGCTCCACTTGACAGGCTCCATGTGGGGTGGGTACGGCCAAGAAGATGGGGATCCCTCTCCTTTCAGCTCCTGATCAAAGGATACGGCATCTCACCAATGGGGCAGGACGCCAACATTTCTCACCCTCCCGAGTCCAAGCGGAAGCAGCTAAATTCCTGGTGAGTGTGGCTGAGAGCTTGGGGGCACCCTTCCTCCAAGCACTGCCTGCCCCCTGAATGGAGGCTTGGCAACCTGAGCACATGGGGGTCCCGCCTGTCCCTACCGCTGGCCACTCGTGGAGCAGAGGCCACCGCTGCAGAGCACGGGCTCAGAGATCCTTCCCAGGAGAAAGGCAGTTCAGAGGGTGCAAAAGCTCTGCACAAAGGAACTGACCTCACCTGAAACAGACGTTCAAGCCTCAGGGTTCTCTTGAAGAAAAAATAAAAACAAACAGCTCTTGTATTAATTAAGAGCAAAAACCTAAACCAAGTCAGTTCACCAGGGAGAACCAAGGAAAGAGGCCACTAAGAAGAGTCTCTTGGCCTAAGAACAAACCTCAGTGACTGGCCTCAAAACTGAGCACTAGCCAGAAGACTGTGCAGTTTATGGGGATTGCTGAAAACAGCAGACCAGGCAGCCAGCAATTAGTGCAGCCCAACAGCTGGGTGTGATATCAACTGAAACGGCTTAATGGAGGGATCCGGAAAGAGGCAGACAGCCCTCTGGAAATCCCAGGGTGACTTTGCTCATGCTTAATGTGCGCCCTCTGAAGAGTGACACCAGACAACTTCACACTGCAGGGGAACCAGACTCACTAAAACAGTCTAGCCATGTCACTAAGCAAATAAATAGACAAACTGTAAAAACAAGCCCAGAGAGAAGGAGGGAATCCGCATCCAGAGCTGCTAAAATATATTACCTAAAATATCTGGCTTTCAACCAAAAAATTATGACATGCAAAGAACAGCAAAGTGACCCATACACAGCGGGGAGAAAAGGAGACAACGGAAACCGTGAGAGGGCCCAGGTGTCGTACTTAGCAAACAAAATTTCACAGCAGCTGTTACAGCTGTTTAAAGGACTTAAGGAAGCCATGCTGAAAGAAGTAAAGGAAGGTTTCATGACGATGTCTCGCTAAATAGAGAACAGCAATGAAAAGACAGAAATTATTAATATAAAATGAAATATGCATTAGAGGGATCCAATGGCAGGTGTCAACGGCAAAAGAAACAGTCTGTGATGAACTTGAAGACAGAGACTGATAGAGATTATGCAATCCAAAGAACAAGGAGAATAAAGAATGAAAAAAAATGGTCACTCTTGGAGAAATGTGGGACACCATTAAGTGTACCAATGCACACACAATAAAAACAACTCACCATATACAAGAGAAGCCTAATATGATTTACAGTTTATTTCTCATCAGAAACAATGGATGCTACAAGGCAGTGGAGATAGGTAGCAAAGAGTGGGTAAATCCTGGGTAAATCATTCTCTGCCACCAAAACAGTATATTAAACAAAACAGGATCTTTAAAAATGCCGAATCAGAACATTAAAATAAATACAACATGTTTAAAATTATGTTACTATTAATCAAATTAATAAAACTTTAAAACTGCTTTAAAACTGACTTCAAACCTGAGCAGTGCTTTAGACCACCTGCTAGTGGGAACTGCAATGCTATTGGTTAAACTCTAGAAATTCTCTCTTTGGTCCTTGAGGTTTTCTCGATGTTCAAGAGGAATTCAGGTGTGATGACTAACTCAGGTGAAAATCAAAAATGATACTTTAATTTGAGAGAGTGTTTCAGGAAGCATCACTGATGCAAGAATTTAAACAACTTAAAGTAAACACAAGGATTTTAACAATATACTCTATCACCACAAGAAATGCATATGAAAAAAATTTTTTGCTCAAAAGTATTTGCCAAACCTTTGAAAAGACGTATGGAAAATCTCTTTTACATGTCCAAGGAAAATGAACTTCTGGATGCCCTTGTACTGTCAGCAGTACAGTTGTGAGCCCTCCCTCCCCCCTCACGGTTTAAAATTAGAGCCCATGGGGCCTGGGAGTCACCACGGATCATGGAGCTACCTCCTGCCCCCAACAGCTGCCTTCCCTCCCTGCAAATGCTAATATTAGGGTTGCGCAAATTCCTAGAGTAGAAATTAAGGGCCACAATTAACTGGGTGACTTAATTTGGCAATCTTGCCCTTTTATACATGGTTAGAAACTGGCCCTTCTCACGGCCATGGTTTTGCTACAAACTGACTCAGCTGCTTCCGTCCAACCCTGTATCTTGGTCTTTCTGAAGAGCTTCAAGACCCCAACTCATTTTCTCTTGGGCATTATGTTGGGCATCAGTTCATACAACATCCTTGTCATCCTGTGCCAAGGCTATACTGGAGATGCTCTGGACAAAGTCAGTCATTTACAGGGAACACCACGAAGCTGTTCCAGGGCCTCCATGTGGGCACTGTTGGATCTTCAGTGATCAGAGCCAAGGTTTAGCACATGTAAAAGGCTCACAAGAACAGAAAAATCTGTCCAAACAAGAAACAGACCCTATTTTTCTAACCACTGATTCTTGGATATGCTGAGAGTTCTATTAGGAAACCAGTGATTCAGACAATGGTTCAGGAATATCAGAAGAAAAGAGAAGAACAGAGAGCCTGGAAATGCACACATTCAGACACTGTGGTGTCCCTACAGAAGACTGGAAAGGATTTTCCAGACAAGCAGCTCTCCTCTGAAAAAAAAAATGGAAGTGAGATCACTCATTTGCACCTATCATAGGATGAATGGCATCTCCAAAAAGCATCTGTCAAAGTCCTCACCCCCAGAATCTGTGCATGGGACCTTATTCAGAGGTAGAGTCTTGGCAGATGCAAGCAAGTTAAGATGAGGTCATCAGGATGGGCCCCGACCTAATAACTGGTGTCCTTGTAAGGGGAAAGGGAGAGACAGAGGCACACAGGCCCAGAGTGAAGATGGTGTAGCGATACAAAAGAAGAAGCCCTTTTGAAGACAAAGGCAGAGACTGCAGTGATGCAGTCACAAGTCCAGACCTCCTGGGGCACCAGGAGTTGCCAGAAGTAGAAGGGATCCTCCCCTAGAGCCTCTGGAGGGAGCCTGACCTGCTGACACTTTGATTTTGTACTTCTGCAGGAGTATACATTTCTGCTGTTTTAAAGCCACCCAGTTTGTGGTAATTTATTACAGCAACTATAAGACACTAACATAGTGTTAGACACAAAGTTCAAGCTGATTAAACATGGAATTATCTTATGACCCATCCATTCCACTCCTAGGGATATACTTAAAGAGAACTGAAGCACATCCACACAAAAGCTTTCACAGCAACTATTCACAACACCTAGAAAGTCAAACAACACAAATGTCCATTAATGGATTAACTGATGAGTGGATGAACAAAATGTGCTCTGTCCTTGTGATTGAATGTTATTCAGTGATAAAGAGGAGTGAACACTGATACATGTTACAATGTGGATGATTTTGTAAACATTATGCTCAGTTAGAGAAGGCAGACACAAAAGGCCATATACTATATGATTTCTTCATATGAAATGTGCAAAACAGGCAATCCAGAGACAGAAAGTGAATCAGTAGTTACCAGGATCTGGGGGAGGAGACTGTTAAATGGGTACTCTTGGGGTCCTTTAATGGACCAGAACCTGGTGGTCCAGAGTCGATGAGAAAGTGAAAGAAGGAAAGAGGCTAATATTCCCTGGGTGACCCAGCCAGCCTTCGCGCTCCAGGGAATCAGCCAGAAATAAAGAAAGAGAGAGAGGGGGAGAGAAAGAAAGACACGGGGACCCAAGCTCTGATGGAACAAGGGTATTTTATTGAATTCTGTTAGAGTATATATACCAGTAGCTTCTTTAGATAAAGATCAAGAGACCAGACTTTACAAGTTTACCAAGGAAGCAAGGAGCAATAGAGGCCATAAGGCCAAAAGGCAATCTACATCAAAGCCTCCAACTAATAAAAATAAATGGAAAAATAAAAAATTAAAATTAAAATTAAAAAAAAAAGAGGGTCGTAAATAGTTACTTTTCACTGTATGGAAAAACTAACGAAGGAAATGCATGCATTTCTCAGTCCCCGGAGAGGCTTGCCTCTCCTCTTAATTCCTGAATACTCAGGAATTAATAAGGAACAGAGGATTCATGACAGATCCAAAAGAGCACACAGGAAGCCTCCTGTTAAATGCTTCCTGACAGGGTACAGTTTCCTTTTAAGGTGATCAAAATGTTTTGAATCCACATAAAGGTGATGGTTGTTCAACACTGTGAATGTATTGTGCTAAATCCCTCAGTCATGTCCAACTCTTTGCAACCCTATGTAGCCCGCCAGGCTCCTCTGGCCATTGGATTCTCCAGGCAAAAATACTGGAATGGATAGCCATGCCCTCCTCCAGGGGATCTTCCCAACCCAGGGACTGAACCTACATCTCCTGCAGCTCCTGCATTGCATGCGGATGCTTTACCTCTGAGCCACCAAGGATTAAATGCCTCTAAATGGTATACTTTAAAATAGCTAATTTTATGTTGTACAAATCTTACTTAAATTAAAAAAAAATCAAGCTGAGATGAACTTAAAAACATAACTAAAAAAACAAACATGTGGGAATTCCCTGGTGGTCCAGTGGTTAGGACTTGGTGCTTTCACTGCTGGGGCCCGGGTTTGGTCCCTGGTCAGTGAACTAAGATCCCACAAGCCATGCAGGAGAGCAAAAAAACAAAAACAAAAAAATTTTAGAAGAAAATTGAGAACACATATATGCAAATATTTCTTAAAGAAGACAACAGACACCGTAAAAGGAAAATAATTGTTTTGACTATATTAAATTCATGATGGGGAATTCCATGGAGGTCCAATGGTTAGGACTCCATGCTTTCAGTGTGGTGGCCTGGGTTCCATCCCTGATGAGGGAAGTAAGATGCTACAACCTGCACAGTATGGCTAAAAAAAATAATACTAATAAAATTCATGATGGTTGCCCAAAAAAAGACACCAAAAACAAACTTCAGGGACTCCCTGATGGTTCAGTGGTAAAGACTTCGCCTTTCAATGCAGGAGACACTGGTATGATCCCTGATCCAGGAAGATCCCACATGCTCCCGAGCAACAGAGCCTGTGTGCCCCAACTCTTGAGCCTGTTCTGTGGAGCCCAGGAACCACAACCACTGGGCCCAGAAGCCACAGCTACTGAAGCCTGCACACCCTAGAGCCCACGCTCTGCGGCAAGGAAAGCCATGTCAATGAGAAGCCCAGGCACCTCCACTAGAGAGCAGAGTCTGCTCTCTGCAAATAGAGAAAAGCCCACATGACCACAGAGACCCAGCACAGCCAAAAACAAGTGACTTTTTAATTCATTAAAGAAAAAATCAAACTTCAGGAAGAATACCTGCCACATGTATGAACTGCAGGAATTTTCACACATGCACTACAATAAAGATACAAGGATATTCATGGCAGCAAAAAACTGTCAACAAACTCAGCTGCCAGTGGGAGAATCAGATAAGTCTCAGGACATACCTGGTGAAGCTGGCAGGGTGAAGTCAGAGAGAGAATGCAAGGGGTCCTTATCCACTGACATAGGAAGACATCAGTATAAGGATTCTTGAGACTAAACCAACACGCACACATATGTGCATCTGAGTCAGCAGACTGAAGACACAGGGGAGCCAATATTCCAGTCCAACTCCAAGGACTGATGTCCCAGCTCACAGTCAGACAAGAGGAGCCTCCTCTTCTGCCACCTGTTTGTTCTATTCAGGCCTTCAAGTGGTTGGACAAGGCCCACCCACACTGGGCAGAGCCGTTCGCTTTGTAGAGTCCACCAATTCAATGTTAACTTCATCTAGGAACACCCTCAGAGACACTCCCAGAATCATGCTGGGCCAAGTGTTTGGGCTCCCCATGGCCTATTCCAGTTCACACATGAAATTAGCCTTCACAACACCTGCATCCAGTGTAGAAATCTGACTTGCAGGATGTAAAGGACATGATTCCATTTAAGCTTGGAAAAGTACAACACAAAACACTGTGTGTGGGTACAAGCATAGAAATAAACTTATGTAAGTGCACAGAATTATCTGAAAGTGAACACAGATGGCTGATTACGGTGACTTTTGGGAGGGTGGAAGGGAGAACACAGAATCCCTTCTTTGGGATTCTGGGATATTAAACTATATGCAACAGGCATACAGCCCATTTGCAGTCAAAAAACAACAGTAAGAAAAGTTGAGGGAAACTTTTCCTTCAACTCATGCAACTCCACAAGGGACATCTTCCAGGCAATGCAGCCCTGGGCAAAGGAAACGAAGCATGACAAGGAGAGAGGATGAACAGGTGCAGGTGCCAGCAGAAACCTGGAGAACTCAGTTGTGAAGATATGCTAGGAGGATCAGCACTGGAAGAAGACCCAGAGATGTCTAAACTGATTTAAACTATACTATAAAGCTATAGCAATTGAAACAGCAATGGTATTGGCATTTTTTAAAAAAAGACAAGCAGACCAGTGGAACGAAATCAAGAGCCCTGAAATAAGCTCTCACAATTAGTTAACTAATCTTTGACAGGAGCACCAAGAACAGACAATGGGGAGCAGACAGTTTCTTCAATAAATGTGATTAAGAAAACAGGATATCCACATGCAAAAGAATGAAAATGAACCACTATCTTACATCATAGAGAATAATTAACTCAAAATGGATTAAAGACATAAATGTAAGACCTGAAACCATAAAACTCCTAGAAGAAAGCACAGGAAAACTTCTCTTTGACCTTAGCAATGATTTTTTGATGACACCTAAAGCACAAACAACAAAACAAAAATAAAAAGCTGGGATTACATCAAACTAGTAACTTCTGTACACCAAAGGAAATAATCAATAAATTAAAAAGACAATCTACAGAAAGGAAGAAAATATTTGTAAACCATATAACTGATAAGGGGTTAGTATCCAAGATAGATAATGAACTTATACAACTTAATGGCAAAAAAAAAACCCACCAACAGTCTGATTTTTAAAATGGCAAAGGACTTGAAGACATGTTCTGAAGAAGACATACAGATGGCAAACAGACACATAAAAGACGTTCAGCATCACTAGCCATCACTACTATCTAACCACCACTGAAATACAAACCAAAACCACAATGAGACATCAGCTCACACCTGTGAGAATGGCGACCATCCAGCCTCAAGAGATAAGAAACATTGGTGAGGATGTAGAGGAGAGGGAAGCTCTATGCACTGTTGATCAGAATGCACACTGGTGCAGCATTGTGGAAAGCAGTAGGGTGGGCCCTCAAAAACTAAAATAGAACCACCACATGATCCTGCAATGCTACTCCTGGGTATTTATCCAAAGAAAACAAAAGCAGTATCTCAGAGAGACATCTGCACATCCATCTTCACTGCAGCACTATTCACAAATCCAAGGTATGGAAATGACCAAAGTGTTTGCTGACTGATAAATGTATAAATGTGGTATGCACATACCGTGAAATACTATTCAGCCATAAAGAAGGAAATCTTGCCTTTTGTGACAAAACGAATGACCCTGGAGGGCATCATGAGAAGGGAAATAGGTCAGAGAAAGACAAATACTATACGATATCACTTATATGTAGAATCTTTAAAAACATGTTTAAAGCTGAACTCATAGTAACAGAGAATAGAAGGATAGTTGGTAGGGATTGTGGGAATGGAGGAAAAAGGAGATAACGTTGAAGCATAGAAACGTTCAGTTATAAGATTTTCTACTGTATAGCATGATTTTTTTTTTAGAGAGGATATTTGATGGAATTGATTGGATTATATACTTTAAATGGATGCGGTTTATTGCGTATCAACTATATCTTAATATAGACTTTTAAAGTAAAAAACATGAAAATGTTACTAAAAGAACTTTGAAAACTTAGATGTTACAAATTCTTAGAAAACACAATCATTTCAATTTATACCCCCCTTAAAATCAATAAACTTTAACATCCATGATTTTTTAAAACCTTAGCAAACTAGAACTTCAGTTATGAAAACTTTCTTAACCTGAAAAGAGATATCTACCCAAAAATCTCAGTGACAATCAGACCAAGTGGTAAAATCACAACAGCATCTCTCCTAAGATCACAAGTGGGGTGTGGTACCACATCTCTACCCAACTAAAAAGGTAGAGATGTAGGGATTTCAAGAAAGAAACAAAATTGCTGTTTATCTCAGATTATGACTGCCTATAGATAAAGCCCCATATCACTTACATAAAGACTCATTTATAATTTTGAAAATTTATTTCTCATACATTTGTGAACGAAAATTTCTTTAAATAAATGTAATTTCACAAGAATGCTATTGGCATCAGTATCAAAATTATTTAACAATACATGAATAAAATTAACAAAAGACATATAAGAACTTTAGGAAAATTACAATACTGTTGTGAAAAATATCCAAGTAGGCCTAAACAAATGAAGAGATACATGAAGTTCATGGTATTGAAAATTCAGTAACACTAAGATGACAGTTTCCCTAATTTGACCTACAAATTAATGAAATATTGAGCAAAATCCTGTTGTCTATGTGTGTGCCCAAGTGTGTGTGAACCTACTGTAAACAATCAGACCCTAAAAATCACATAAATAAGAAAAACAACAAGAATAGCCAAGATACGAGTAAAGTTGCAGGATACAAAATCAATATACAGAAATCTGTTGCATTTCTACACACTAATAACAAACAATCAGAAAGAGAAATTAAGAACACAATTCCATGTACCTCTGGCACAAAATCAGAACTATAGACCAATGGAACAAGATAGAAAGCCCAGAAATAAACCCATGCACCTATGGGTACCTTATTTTTGACAAAGGAGGCAAAAATATACAATGGGGCAAAGACAGCCTCTTCAATAAATGGTGCTGGGAAAATTGGACAGCTACATATAAAAGAACGAAATGAGAACACTTCCTAACACCATACGCAAAGATAAACTCAAAATGGATTAAAGACCTAAATGTAAGACCAGAAACTATTTGATTTTAACTTGGTTTAATGACTATTTTGCCTTACATCTATCACTGTGTAATGGGGTTTTCTAACCGTCTAAAAGCTTTTAATTTACAAATAGTTGTCTGAGCTCCTATGAGTGCCACAGCCTCCTCCAACTATTACTTGGAGCCCCTGGATCAGACATCCTCAGTATGAGGATTAGGAGAATATGTTGCCTCACCAATTTAGGGACAACGCCCCTTGTCAGCTCAGAAGCAGTTATGGAATGAGAACGACGCCCCTTTTCCCTAGGCAACATAATTCTCCTAAAAGAAAAGGGGGGAATGAGTCATTTCCTAGGCAGGTTGATAAGAAGTCTAGGGGTCCCCAAGGAGAGAGAGGTCTGGGATATTCAAGGAGGAAGAAAGGACAAACTTTTTAATTTTTTTTCCTCTACATTCCTTAGGATTATATAACAATAATATATCCTTCCTGAGGACAGTCTTTGGATTAAACCCTCTGGCTAATCCTGTTATCTTAAAATGTAAATTATGGGAGTAGGTCTGGTCTTTACAGGGATGTATCCTGCCTGAGGACAGTCTTTGGATTAAACCTTCTGGCCAACTCTGTTATCTTAAAATATAAATTATGGGAGTGGGTCTGGTGAGGTCTTTGCAGCCTCCAGACATTCTTTAGATTCATTGGAGAGTATATAACTCCATTGCTAATACTAGCAAGGGGGTACTCTTTTGCCCCCTTCTGATGCCTATGTCAGAAGCTTTCTCTATCTCCTTTATACTTTAATAAAACTTTATTACACAAAAAAAAAAAAAACATAGGCAGAACACTTGATGACATAAATCAAAGCAAGATCCTCTATGATCCACCTCCTAGAGTAATAGAAATAAAAATAAAAGTAAACAAGTGGGACCTGATTAAACTTCACAGCTTTTGCAGAGCAAAGGAAACTATAAGCAAGGTGAAAAGGCAACCCTCAGAATGGGAGAAAATAATAGCAAATGAAACAACCAACAAAGGATTAATTTTCTAAATATATAAGCAGCTCATATAACTCAATGACAGAAAAACAAACAACCCAATCAAAAAGTGGAAAAAAGACTTCAACAGACATTTCTCCAAAGAAGACATACAGATGGCTAACAAACACATGAAAAGATGCTCAACATCGCTCATTATTAGAGAAATGCAAATCAAAACTACAATGAGATATCA